ACACTGAAAATAGTCCATAGGTCACACTTTTACATCCACAAGACACAGTGCAGAGCTTTACCAGTGAAAACAAGAGGGGTAGGTAGCATGGTCCCACCAGTGATATGGAGGTTGTATAATCATAGGCTATCTCCACTGGGAATCTTACATATACACTGGGTAACACACTGTGGACCTCAGCTGTTGTCAGACTACAAATTCCCATAACATTCTGTGCAGTCATAGGCACAGCTACGGGGTGAGGTTACAATACAGATTGCTAAGCACAGACTTGTTTAACTTGTCAATACTTTTTTATTTTTTTCATAGCCTTCTGCAGCAATGGGTAATCATAAACAGACTTCAAGTACCAATACTGGTGTCATGTCAATTATTAAACAAATCTCTGTAAGAAGTCAAACACTCCATGATTTACAAAAGAAAAAAAAAAAAAAAATTAATGAGAAATTAAAAATTATTCCAGCAAGAGGAAGGTAACAAAAAGGGAAATAAAAGCAAGAGGAATACAAAGCTTATCCCCAACAAAGGAGTATGAGGTAAATTGCCTCACTGAAGGTTAATAATATCCTGTCGTTGAGGTAAAAGACTCAATTACAAAACCTTCAGAACAGTTCCTGAGGAGCAGATCAGCCTGCAGTGACAGCCAAGGCTTAAACAAGCAAAATATAGAAAGAACCTGGCAATTGTACCCAGAGGAACAAATAAAATGCACAGTTCACACAGGACGGATATTTCACACGTTAGGAAATGCACCAAACTCGTATAGGACAAATATTTCAACCTTTATAAACGTATGCAAACCAGATTTAAAAAAAAAAAAAAAAAATGATATTTATTGAATGATTTTATAAAGATAAATTCTCTTCAGCATTGTTTCTCTCAGTGTGACATTTATAGCACAACAGTGATCATCAAACACTCATGTAAGGTAAAAGGTAGGCATCATCATATGGATGATCAGCTCTGTAAAAATATCTTAGATAGTAACAACAGAACTCCCATATTCTATTAATAAGAATGGTCTGTAAAGAGCAATTTTTTTGTGCAAAGTTCTAAAATGAACAACACTGCATTGGTTTCCATGGCGATTGCTTCACTTTTCTAATTCTGCCTCATAATTGTTCTTTATACATAATTACAGGCAAGTGATTTAGGATATCATGATTGTTATATATATTTACTAAATGAAAAGGTTGGTACACTCAAGCCATCTTTTAAATGTAACGGTGCTGTACCACCTAAACCAGGCTTCCCCAAACTCCAGCCCTCCAGAGGTTGCTGAACTACAACTCCCATTGTTCTATGAATGAAATAGATAGGCTGAGAATCATGGAAGATGTAGTTCAGCAACATCTGGAGGGCCGGAGTTTGGGGAAGCCTGACCTAAAGAAACCAATGAACAAATCCTCTGGTATGTTAAACATCTCCAGTAAGTGTTTAAGAAGCATTCTAATTACTTGTTTTTGGTTTTTTTACATCAAGGACAACAAAGGCAACTCAACCTATCACAACGTTCTTCTTGTATCACATGACTACAAGTTAGATTAATATGGCCCGACAAATCTGGCACAACTGTAGGTAGATAAATAATTAATCCCATCCATTATGTTCCTAATGCTTATTAACAAAGCACCTCCTTTAAAGTTTGGCAAGCTCTGTTCCTTTCATTTGTTTAAAATGAATGCATAATCTGGATTTTTTTATATTTCAACATTTACCTAAAGAAACACACTGTATTGTTTAAAATCATTTACCAGAAGCATAACTTCTAGAACAGGGGTGCCCACACAGTAGTACCCCAGATGTTTTAAAACTACAGCTTCCATTATGCTTTGTCATTCTAGAGGCATGCAAAGCATCATGGGCGTTGCAGTTCTACAACATCTGGGGATAAAAAGCGTTAAAGGAATTACAACTCTCATCATTCGAGGTAGGCTGAGGCTTCTGCAAGTCTTTTCTAATATTGGTTTCATTTCTATGTAATGCTAGGAGTCAACATATGTCATTGGTATGTTTACTGTTAGTCTGCTATATCATTTGGTGTGTAAATATATATATATATATATATATATATATATACACACAATGATAACATACAAAAATCAGTTGCGTCAAAAGCACAAACTCAGTAGACAGCTGTTAGATTGACAGCACATCAAGATTACATAAGTATTCTTTCACTCACACTAGGATAACCTTTCCTTGAACAGTACCTGGCAAATAATAAGGTTTCTTCATTATATCGCATGGCCAACAATGTTAACGAAAAGAACTCAACTTGCCATTCGTGGCTGGTAACATGCCCTACTTTTCCAGCCACTAGGTTTACATGTAACATTGAACTGTGGGAAATTAATTTCTCAACCGTTTCCTTGATATATCAATAACAGTAATGTAAAGGACATGTAGGATTCAACATCACCTTGCTTATATAGAATTCCTTGACCCGTTCTACAGAGGCAGGCCATTCATCTGTGCTGTTATAAACCGTGTGTCATTTTGTATTACAGTCGTCTGGCGATGAGCACAAGGGTTAAAGCAGAGCACCACGTTAGCTAGAATAGGTTGAAAGAAAGTATTGAGGTGTCCCAGCTGAATGCAAAGCCACTTTGCAGGAAAAGTGACACTTGGCAAGGTGTATAGGAGGTGAAATAAAATGAAAGCGAGGGGTGACAGGACACCTTCCCTACAGTTTTCTTTTAACAATTGTGTCAAAATTTCAGATGTGTTTCATTAGTTTTTAAGATATGATGTGAACAGAAAATGGATGGGGATCAAAGCAGAGTGGAGAGACAGGCCTGTTCTTAAAAAAAATAATATATATATATCTTTTTATTTTTTTAAGAGAAGCAATGTCTTCTATTTCAAATACTCAGTAGTATGCTATAAAAACGACAATAATTGTTAATTCAATACATTTCACTACAATGAAGTTGCTGATTATAATGTAGCAATACCAAAGGCTTAAATAGATATTCCAGGCACTGAAACAGTTACAATGCACTGTCTACTGGTAATCTGTCAGGCTGTTTATAAACGGCATGAGATTTAACTGTTGTGTCAAGTGCTCACAGACCAGTCTGAGTTGGTCTGCTCATCTTTCTGCCTCCCCCAACATAATAGAAGCATGGGCTCCTCCGACGATGTTCCAATCAATGCTCTTTATAGAGGAGCACTGAGAACATGATGTGTATGCACGTCTTCATTAAGATGAAGTGGTCTGGGTGACCTAAGTGGCCCTTTAAGTTATTTATCTTATTTTTCCTAACGTGCTGGTCTCCGTGCAGATGTCCTGCCCACGCTAGCTGAGATCCTCAATCCCGATTACCTCAAATCTAATGCTTTCTCATAGGGAAGAATTGTGAGGCTATTGCGCATGCACAGCAAATTTTCATGCCCCATCAATCAACATCTTGTTATAGACATGCAATGAGTGAATGTATCTCTATGAGGAGCATTAATTGTCTTCATGCATAGCGTGGAGATGCTGAACATTGGTCCTTCAATTTTTGCAGGACTACACCTAAAATGGCCCTCTATTGGCTATCAGAGTGACCGCGACTATAAGAAACTTTAAGCAGCAGTGTAAACGTTTTCTCACAACGTTTACACTGCTGTAAAAGGATACATGGACAGGCTATATGTCCCATAACCACTACATTAAGTAAGCTGTAGTGGTTCTGGAGGCTATAGTGTCTCTTTAAAGGAGGCCTTTAACCTCTCTGGAAACTATGTCACTGAATAAAATGCTGAATATCACCTGTAACTTTTGCTAACCCTTTTCTTTTAATTTGATAGTTCATCTTTTTCAAATGTATATTAAAAGATTTAGCATTTGACATCACAATCCAGTTTAGTGCAGGCACATGGGAGGAGAAACAAACAGCGTGCATTGCTATGTTTTATTTTCCTTTTCACACCTTACAAAACACATACATGTTAAATATAAAGGTTAAGTAAGAATAATATTAAAAATCTTTGTAAGTGATGGTCCCCATGAGGTGCACAAAATCTTCAAAAGGCAAATAGAGAGTAACAACCAGAGACACAGATTTAGGAGGGAAATCTTTGAGGTATTTACAGATGTAAGAGGGGGTAAGTAGGAGACTGACAGATGGGTGTCATTTAGCCATAATTCATAAGTGTTTTTCCTCTTCGGACATAATTGCTTGTCTGTTTTGAATGTCATGGAGTGACACAATGCCATAAGGCAGCTTGTGTGTTGCAAAGGGCACAACCTCTGACCTCTACCCTGCTCATAGTGTGCCTCAAATTGCAAAGGCTGTTACTTCTCCATTTTATTCTCAATCTGCCAACTTGCAGGATTGCTGCCAAAGCAGAGCCTTCAGGTTAAAATGACTCCACATTTCTAGGCCCAAGGCCAGAGTATTTTGAATGACGGCTATGTAATAGGAAACTTTAGCTCTGATACATCAATGACCCCAATCCACCATTGAAAATATATCCATGCTTAAACATAATATACTCTATGCTACATTATTTTTTTAAAGCCTAGCTGCCCAACAGATCAACACATTGCACATACTGTAATATCATTATGATTTGCACTAACAACTTCATGCCCAGAGCGTCCATTCTGCTAGATTAACGAGTTAACTCTTGTGCTGTGTGACGGTTTGACTGAAGCTAGTGGACATGTAGAAATAGGATATGCAGTAGAGAGAATAACCTTCAGGGATGGCATTAAAATATTTTACAACATTAACCCTTTAAGAGTTTGTCGTGAAGATGCTTTGTTGGCACTCGTCCACAATTATTGCATCCTAGTGATAAACCTGTCTGGCCTTCATAAAAATGTCTTAATTGTGTTTACTAACCTTTACTGAGGACTGGATTTCAATAATAAAATATAAACCATAAAAATATGACATTAAATGGGATCGGGCAGAAGTAGTGTCTTCAGATTTGAGTGCAATATAAAGAATTGTGCAAAACTAAAAAGGTGCCCATACAAAAAAAAGGGGTGAGTCCCAGTTATTTATGTGTGTGTGTGTGTGTGTGTGTGTGTGTGTTTATTTATATATTTATATTTATATTTATATATACACACACACACACACACACACATACATATTTAGATGTATAAATATTTCTCATCTACATCTGATATATATATTTCTTATGTATGGCTAATATGTCATATCAATAAAGAGCACGGGAGTTAAAGTTTCTCTCTCCTATGGCAAAGAAGATAAAAGTTGTTCTGTATTGCAACTGACAGCATGACTGCAACTGACAGATGCCACCATAGAGTGGTTTTGGTGTGGTATTATACCTTACAGAAGCTGTCAGTGTATCGCTATAGTGGAAGGATGGTAAGATCTACAACAGCAAGAACTATCAGAGTACAGATGTAGAGATTACATAACACAATCAATTATTTACAGAAAAAAACACATTCTTTTTTTCCTTAACGATTAGGAAATAATACTGTATTCGTTATGTTGACTGTGTGTGTATGAGACTTTTCAGTTTAATAACAGTAAAATTGATACAGGCATTTAAATAATGCTTGTGCGCTTATTTTTATGTTATTGTTCCCATAATGATGGGAAACTGCATGCATGTTATTATAAGACATACTTCCCAGTAATGCCCGTACTACAAGTACCACATCAATAAAAAAAAATTTTTAAAAAGAGAGAGATAAATAACATTGGCGAATCACTGTATAGATAAACGTAATGCCTTTGACGAAGATTATAGTTTTATCTTACCTATTCAACATTATTGGATAAGCTTTTCAAAATGATTCAATATTTTTGGATCACTTTTTATAATTATTTAATATCATGAAAAATATTTTGAAATATTTAAATAGTTTTCTTTAGGTTTTCCCTTCCTCTTCAGTCTCGTATTTTTCAATATTTTTCTTTATATTTTAATATTTTCTGGTAAAATAATAATTTAAAAGTGTATACAAAAAATATTAAATCAAGACCTTAATTAGAAGACAGTACGCCACACAACACAACAAAAGTCCTCCCTTAAGGCTTGTCTGGGGGCTTTCGATGCTCTACAAAACTATGCAGCCTGCAGCGACTGGGCATGGAACCCTCCAGCTGTGCCTTCTCTATTCTGAGGTGCAATTGGGAAAGGATGTGTGCGACTTTCAAAAGCATGGAAAGCCACCCACAGAGCAGTAGTATATTGGACCTACCTCAATCGGATATCAAGGTCATTTGCAACATAAGGAACACATGTACTTAACGCGAACACATTTATTTAACAGGGGCCTTACAATAACACACGAAAAAAAGTAATATATATATTTTAAATGTTGCCCATGTTTAAGGAAAAATTCAACAAAAAAATAAAGCATAAATCTCTACACTGTATGTTCATATAGGGTTTTGATTAACATTTAGCAGAGCTATGAAATTATTTCATTTGTCAAAACAGGGAAGTTAAATGCAAACACAACAGAAGACATTGATTTAACAGCACATTGGTGCCTCCACTTTATAAAAAGCAGGGCCCAGGACAACTTTTAGACAAGTAAAATGAAAAACTTCTACTAGAATGTCAGGCTTTTACTCATCCATACTATCTTTGTATAAGTCCTCTAGCCAGCTGAATCTTTCTATGAAGTCTTTCAACTATCACCGTCCTTGGAGTCATATCATGACCCCTACTGCTTTAAATTCTATTTAGTTTGCACAATGGTGTGTAGTAAAATTTTGACACAAGGCTTACCTTTCTTTAAGGAAGAATGGTCAGATCCCAGGATTTTTTAGATTATGTTTAATTTTCCCCTAAATTTAACAAATATGTTTGTGAGGTCGGACAAATAAAAATGAAATGGGAATCCACTCAAGCTGTATTTACTTTTGGAACCGAGCACCTCCCTCTAAACCCCCTGTCAATCATTGCAATAAGTTTTGCTCCTTGTACCTGTCAGTCAGCATAAAGCAAGATGACAAGAAACAAAAATGCTGGGGAGATTTATCAAAGTGTTTGTGAATTATCTGCACATTTTCTGTTTTTTTTTTTCTAATTCAAATGATCAGTTCTGACCCTCTTCACTACTTTTGCACCTTCAATTTTTTTTTGTTTACTTCATTCTCTCTATTAGGATTTCCATTTTATTTTGTATTTTTTGTACCAGAAAAGTATTCTATTTCCTGGCGCTTTTAGGACATAATTATGGAGGCACAAATATCAGTCAGAATATACAAACAAAAACAAAAAAAGACTACTTTTAAAATACTTTAACAAACTGGGACTGCTTTTTTAACCCTTACCCCATCCCATCTTCCATTGTTTTTATTTCTTCTAAATTCTAATGTGATGTATATTAAATCTATTAAATCTTTAATATACATTTGAGCTTCACCTGTAATGTTAATCTCAGATGATGTTTCATTTTTAAAAATCTTTTTTTCCATAGTGTCAATTCCAATTAAATTTTAAAGGAACAGCATACTGTACACTAGTCTGTGTTTGGCTGAATACATTTGGACAAAAATTACAATTGAATTTTAGACATTCGTTGATTCGGTTCACTTTAAACCCGGCCAATATTCTTGGCTCTGAATTTCCATTTGGACAAATGGAATGCTGCAATCGCTGCCAAATCTTTCAGTTATTAAGATAAGTCTTAGTTTGGTACCCTTATGTGGGACTGCAATATTTAAGGGTATTAAACTAGAGTTTACTGTGTTTAGAAGAAAATTCCCTTTCTTTTGGTATGCTTAAATATGGCAATCCCACATAAGGATACCAAATAAGGGAGCTATATATTAAACGGAAGAGATTAAAATTAATGAAATCCTTTTTTTTTTTTATCTTTCGGCTGTTAAGTGGAGAGCTTGTTTATTCTGTACCCTTATGTGGAATTGGCAGTATTTATGGATACCAAATTAGGAAGCTGTTTAGTAGATAGCTCCTTAAAGGACCACTCTAGGCACCCAGACCACTTCAGCTTAATGAAGTGGTCTGGGTGCCAGGTCCTTCTAGGGTTAACCCATTTTTTAATAAACATAGCAGTTTCAGAGAAACTGCTATGTTTATTAATGGGTTAAGCCTTCCCCCTAATCCTCTAGTGGCCGTCTCATTGACAGCCACTAGAGGCGCTTGCGTGCTTCTCACTGTGATTTTCACAGTGAGAGCACGCAGCCATAGGAAAGCATTGTAAATGCTTTCCTATGCACGGCTGAATGCGCGCGCAGCTCTTGCCGCGCGCATTCAGCCCAGGAGGAGGATCGGAGGAGGAGAGGAGGCAGAGAGCTCCCCGCCCAGCGCTGGAAAAGGTAAGTTTTTACCCCTTTCCCCCTTCCAGAGCCGGGCGGGAGGGGGACCCTGAGGGTGGGGGCACCCTCAGGGCACTATAGTGCCAGGAAAACGAGTATGTTTTCCTGGCACTATAGTGGTCCTTTAATTTGGTATCCTTATGTGGGTTTGCCATATTTAAGGATAACAAATTAGGAAACTAGCTAATAAACATAACACTTCCCTAATGTAGTACCCTGCAATGTGGTAATCTCACATAAGGGATTATTGAATTCACAAGAACTAATGAACTAACAAATCGTGGATGGAATAATTTAGTTCATCCGTGAGTCATTTACTAGTCCATTCTTCCAATGTGCCGTTCAGAGATTCGGAATTCAGATGAACGGCCGAATGACTCGATTTTCAATTGTGATTCTTTTCTAAACAAATCCTGAAATCTATTGAGCATTCAAATTAACCACTAAAGCAGTATGCAATTTTGTCATAATAAAAGGCTCATTGCAGAGCTCTAATTGGGATCCATACAGTTTCTTAACCATTGGCTAGCAAGTCTATTTACTGTAGTTATTGTCTAAATAACTTTTCTCTACTCCATGATACAGCCCAGTAAAACCATGTAAATCATTGGTAATGACATATAATCCACAATCAATTTAGTTTAGCTTAACCAAAGTTATCTTGTGACCTCCAGGATGTCAGTTCAGCCAAATGAAATTAACAATAGAAGAAATCGCTTTAAATAGTGCAAGGCTTCTTAAATAAAAGACATTATAACTATTATTATACTAATACCGCATGCAAGCTATAGCATTATCCTAGGAGGTGTGGCAGTAAGGACAATGTGCTTAAAGACTATTTACATGGAAGAAACAATTCCGAGTAAGGTTTTTCTGCAGAAAACACGCAAGCTGATCTAGCTAGTGGCTGGGAGAACAATAAGCACTGCTGTGGCGCACCTGATCAAATTACTAACCTTGTGTCAAGGTGTCTAATATTCATAGTCTATTGTGCAATTTCAAGGAGATCTAGGAGAATTGTGGATTGAATTAAACAAATTGGGATGTAGCCTGGAATATTAAAGGACCACTATAGGCACCAAGACCACTTCAGCTTAATGAAGTGGTCTGGGTGCCAGGTCCAGCTAGGTTTAACCCTTTTTAAAATAAACATAGCAATTTCAGAGAAACTGCTATGTTTACCTATGGGTTAATCCAGCCTCTAGTGGCTGTCTCATTGACAGCCGCTAGAGGGCTTCCGTGCTTCTCACTGTGATTTTTACAGTGAGAAGACGCCAGCATCCATAGGAAAGCATTGTGAATGCTTTCCTATGGACTGGATGAATGCGCATGTGGCTCTTGCCGCGCATGTGCATTCAGCCAGTGACTGAAGAAGAGGGAGGAGAGGAGGAGGAGAGCTCCCCGCCCAGCGCTGGAGAAAGAGATAAGTTTAACCCCTTCCTCCCCCTAGAGCCCGGCGTGAGGGGGTCCCTGAGGGTGGGGGCATCCTCATGGCACTATAGTGCCAGGAAAACGAGTATGTTTTCCTGGCACTATAGTGGTCCTTTAAAGTCACATGAAAAACTAGGTCCACAACCACCTACAGTGCTCTAATGAGACTAGATGCCCCATTTAACTTGGGATGAATATGGAAACTTCTGCTGTAGGGCTTTACCCAAATCACTGCTTTCTGCAAAATGCCCATATATAATATACATACATGTATTCATATTACATATACGTATGTATATTATACATAGGCATTATTGCACATAATAATGTCTAAAACACTATGTCTGTCTGTGTTCATTTGCATGTTTAGCTGGGAATTCTGGGAGAA